AGCAGCAGCGGTGGCGGCAGCGACAGCGGCAGCGACACGGATATTCCGGCGCTCCGCGGGCCCGAGGAACGGAGGCTCGCCCGCTTTGGCGAGCCGGCCGAACTCACCAGCCGCCGACTCAGGGAGAACCCTCGCCGGAACACGAGGTACGAGTCGTCAACGAGTGCCGAAGGTCTGCTCGCCCGCCATGCATCGGCGGCCGGGCTGCCCACCCTGCCCATCACCAGCACGGAGGAGTACACCCACTGGATGCTCGCGTGTGTGGTCGACGTGGTGGAAGGGCTAGAGGCGAGGGCGGTGCAAGCGCTGCTGTGCGAGCGCGCGGAGGAGGCCAACATCGCGCGCCAAGAGGCCGAGGACTTCCTGCTGGGAGCGGAGGACCTCGTGCTCAACTCTCCAGACGCCTTCGTGAGGGCCCTGGCGTCGACCGAGCTGAGTACAGAATCCCCCATAGGCAAGCGTCCTGAGTGACGTTGAATCCCCCCCCATGACCGTAGCCGGCGTTGCCAAGTCTGTGTACAGAGAGGGGTGGGAACAGGCCATGAGGGAAGAGTTCGATGGACACTTGGACACGGGAACGTTTTCATTCGTAGACGGTACGCCAGAGGGGCGTAGACCTGTGAGTTCTAAGTGGCGTTTTACTTGGAAGACGAACAAGGAGGGGAAAATCGAGAAGTTCAAAGCGCGTCTGGTCGCTAGGGGTTTTTCGCAAATTCCGAATGTGGACTACTTCTACTCATCCTCCCCTTGCCCATCATCCGCATCCATTAAACTGATGCTTGCGGTAGCCAATGAAGAAATCATTGAAACTCAACCACTGGGATGTCAAGCAGGCGTTTACACACGCTAAGTTAGACGAGGATGTGTTCTTGAGGCTCCCCGCGGGGTGCGGGGAAAAATCCCACAAAGTTGTGAAGGCTGAGCGTGCTATTTACGGCTTGAAGCAGAGCGGCAGGCAGTGGGGGTACCACGCTGCCGACACGCTTGTAGAAAACGGGTTCGAGCAGTGCAAGGCGGACCCGTGCGTCTTCCGCAAGATGAAAGACGGTGTCGTGGTGATGATTATCGTGATTTATGTGGATGACATTCTGGTGGCTGGGTCTGATGATGATTGCAAGGAGTTGCTCGCTTCCCTCAACAAGGCATTCCCCACTAAAGACCTTGGAGAGTGTGTGTGGTTCGACGGGTGTGCCGTTGAGAGAGACCTAGAGGCTGGGACCCTTAGAATCTCCCAAACCGCGTACATTGACAGCATCGTGAATCGCTTTGATGTTCAATCGACCTCCCCCATCCCTGCTTCCCCTGGTGCTGACCTAGGACCGAAGCGAGATGACGAAAGTGGAGGGGAGTGGCCGGTGAGGGAGGCCATCGGCAGCATGATGTGGGTGTCGACGTTCTCGCGCCCGGACATCTCGTTCGCTGTGCGTGCGGTAGCGCGCCACGCCCACGCCCCTGCCGAGAGGCACTGGAAGGCGATACGGAAGATCCTCGCCTACCTCAAAGAGACGAGGGACCTCGGGATCACCTACAAACGGGGATCGGGGCTGGGGCTGGCGGTGTACGTGGACGCTAGCTACGCCGACGCTGAGGATAGACGTTCGGTGTCAGGGCTGGCAACAACGGTTGGAGGAACCGTCATCAGCCACGGTAGCAAGACGCAAGCTATCGTATCTTTGTCGTCTACGGAGGCAGAGTACATTGCTGCCGGAGAGGGTGTGAAAGAAGCTTTGTTTGTGCGTGCAGTGCTTTCGTTTATTGCCCCAGAGACCAGCGGCGGTAGCATTCAGGTCCTTGAGGACAATCAGGGGGCCATGGCTTTGGTGCAGAACCCCCTTAGCTCAGCGCGTAGCAAGCACATCGACGTGCGGTACCACTTCATTCGTGGATTGTTTAGGTCGGGTGACATCTCGATCAAGTTTGTGTCGACGTCGGAGCAACATGCAGACATGCTCACCAAGGCTCTTAGCAAGAGCAACCTGCAGTACCACCGGAAAAAGCTGATGAATTTGCCGGAGCTTCTGTAGGATTTTCTAGCGCTTGGGGAAGGTCATGTATACCATGCGGGGAAAGATGCATTACTGTCGCGGGCTGTGTCCCAATGGCAGGAGTAGGAGGCTTGCCTCGCATTCTTGTCTTCGCCTTGGCCTTCCTGATAAGTGCGGCCGTTGTGATCCGCCGTGATAGCAATGGTTTGTGTTGGATGGGATTTATTTTCGAGGGGTTTTGCCCGGGCGCCGGGTTTCCCCTCGACCACCGTATTGGCATTTTATTGATGTATCCGGGGTGTTTTTGCCCCACTGATGGTTAGTCACTTGCGTGAAGAACCAGGGAGGGTGTTCGTGGGTCTACGGACATGGTTTGGATATGTTAGCCGTACGTACAAGTGTGACGCAGATGGTGTAGAACCTTTTAGGTAGGGGTACGGTGATGATGCACCGGGGCCCCCTTTTGTTGTGTGCAGCAGCCCTGCTGCCACTCCTCCTTTCTGAGCACGACAGCGCCCTGGGTACGGGCGTTGCCTCACCGTCTGAAGTTAATACACTACACAAACAATACCCGATAAGTACGCGGAGTACGGCCGACAAACACACCGAGTGTTGAACAGATCACGGAGAGCATTGTACTCCCTGCCATTGTCTTCAAGCATTCGCAAGGCACTTTCGCTGCTGCCCACAGGCAACACCTGTTGTCGCGATGCCATAAACTGGGGGGTTAAATTGTTGTTGTGTCATTGCCCCCGGGCCACCCCCGGAATCCCTTGGTGTCTATGTTGCTTTCGGTGGCCTGGAAAGCACATCTCCCACAATATTACATGTGGCAATCGCTCCTCCTTCGGAACGAAATCGCCAGAACATGCCTTAGAATTTACAATTCGGCATCAAGAGCACACTGCGGGTGACCTGGAACTCAACACAAAAGCAAAAGCAGCACGCAAGAGGAGCACTCTGACAGCGTTTCGATGCTATTGCATACCAGGAACAAAATAGGGCACGCTCGAGGGCTTGCAGCCCGCTGCACACGCAGTGTGTGTGTGTCTCCCTCTTTCTTCTGCGTGGCACACCAGAAAAAAAACATTGCATGGTGCTGGCGAGACTGGCGAAAGGCGGAAAATTGTGAAAATCTGACCGCAAACAGAGGCTGCGCTCAGACTGACTGACTGACTGCTGGAGAGAAAGAATTGGGCCGCATATTTCCTACTTTAATAGGCTACTCATACACGGGAGTAGCTGGTACCTGGGTGCTCTTCTGTCAGGAAAGCGCTGAGAGTCCTAAGCCAGGAGTAGGTAGGCCCCTCATGCGATTCAACGCACACGATTCCACCCAGAGTTTCGGTGTTGTAACGTGTATGCACATGAATACGGTATGATGTCGTAATTCTTTCGCCTGCAAAAAAACACCCACGGATGGTGCACTCTGACGAGGAGCACGCACCTCTTCGCTGTGCTTCTCCAGGGTTGATTTTTGCCGAGCCTTCAGGACGACGTCGCTCTCGTCCTCACCGCGCCCCAGCATTTTGAACCTAGCCTTGACGAGGCTCGCAGTCAACCTCAGAGCGGCCAATGCGCCCAGAGCAAGCGGGATCTCCAAACCTGACATGATTCCAAGGCAAGCAGCAGCTGGCCGGTGCCACAGCAGAGGGAGATGATGACCGTGAGACAGCTACACAAGCAGTTGCGATACCGGGGTTTGGGTGTGCCCCCCGGCCCCCGCACACCCAAGCACCTCCTCCTTCCCGCCCCTGTGACTTGAAGACAATTAATATATACAATTTTCGAAGGATTTCATCACAGAATGGTCCGGGAACCAATCGATGGTTGACAGGATTGATCCAAGAATGTTCGCCGGGCGGTGCCATGCTTTCCTTAGACACCAGCCGATGGAACAACCAACAAGGATCCACATCTACAGCGAATGGTAGACTGCAGCTCGCCGGATGCCGGAACCCACCAATCAGCCCCGCACCCGTAACGGCCTAATCAGGATGCGCGGGGATTCAGCCGGTATTCCGGGTGGTTTGGGGCTCACGGGCTCACTACTGCTACAGCTGTTGTACTGCTGCAGGCGGTTCCAGCTACGGAAATCCCGCCGCACAAAAAATGCGGCGAGATTACAGACGGCAGCCGATGCGTTGGAACGTTGCAGCGTCACTACGCCCCCACACGTGGCTTCTTTCTCAGGCTAATTGGACACCTTTGGGCATGATGCGAGGCTCGCAGTTGGACCCAATCGTGGGCAAGGAGAGAGATTTACTGCTTGTGAAAGGCGTTGCTGCATACGAGATGCACGGACGAGAGGCAACGCCGACAACATCGGAACGCTCTCCACTTCGGGCAGCTTCATGTGCGGGAGAGGGGGCGTAAGGCGACCATTGAGGGAGAGGCTAGCCCGCCACACTATTGGTAAGCTCGTGAAGGGCATGTGCGCGGTTCAACGGGAGCATGCCAATCCACGGACGGCGGGAGAGCGGGACACTTTTGCCGCTCCATGCACCACGGGTGCCCGGTGAACAGAGCGCGAGTGGAGAGAGAGAGAGGCGGGAGGTGAAATGGGAGCTTGTGTGCTGCTGCAAAGATTCTTGGCCTGGTGGATTTCTGGTCGTCGGCACGGCCGTCGATATTGCTGCTGAGGTGAGTCATGTGGAGTCGGTTCGTGTGTAGCAGTTGTACTGTCGTCAGCGCCTGCACCATCGCCGATTTTCGAGCACCGACAGGACTGTAAGGGTAAGCCTACAGCAGCAGAAGTCGTTGTTGTCGTCTCGTACCAGCCCACTTTCTCTCGCGTTCCCGTTCTCGAGTCAAAGCCGCCGTTGATTGGCGTTGGAAAATGCGTGTCAGTGATGCCTTCGTGTCTGTGCTGTGCCGTAGTCGTGGTTGCGGCTGCACCTATTTGAGCATAGGGTGACACGGCTCGGGACAGGCGGTTACAGCAGGTCAGCTTGGCGCCAGCAGCGTACCTTGAGACACGCCCAAGGAAGCGAGTCTGCAGCGGTTGGTCGAGATCACATACGCAAGCCCAGTGGCGACAGCAGTACGTACGCAAGCCTAGCGCCGTGTGTGTCATTCCACATTTTTCTCTCCCGGGTTGATACTTATCTCGCCTATGCTTGGTGTTCGAAGGTGCCAAACGTGCGTCGACAAGGTGTGGTGAACGAGAACATGCCAGGCCACACCACCGGCGACTGGAACATATACGTACTTGGGGCGAGAGCTGAGGGCGAACGAACGTCGACGGTCCGAACCTGGGAGACAGACGGCGCGGGTCATTGCTCCGGAGAATACCGTCGATGGAGCTCAAGCGAAGGTGAGCTGCACTACTGACGGTATCTCTCTCTGGCCTTGCGGACGGGATGCAAGGGGGCGTTTCCCTTTCGTATGGCAACGTCGAGGAGAGCCCCGAGCTCACTGCTGTTGTAGCTCACTGGTGTTGCTCAAGACGACCTGCGTCGTTGTGAGTGGAACTTTTGCTGATTCACTGGGGGGTGCTAGGGTTGTTGATGCACTTGGTAATATCTGTGCGGTGTACTGAGACCACCCCAACAACAATTCGCTGACGACTGCCTTCCGGCCACTCATTCGCTCGCACGCCATTTTTTCCCCCGGCCAACCTCTGTATTCGTGTTCTCTGTCAACCTTCTTGGGCGATTTAAAGCCGGCGACGATTGACCCGGCCTTGGCCATTTCGACGAGTACACCGCTGATGGCTTCCCCTCCCTGCCACCCCCGTCAAAGCCGAGACCGATACCACCTCCACTTCAAGCAGCCAGCAGCAATTTCTTAGGCGTTTGGACCAAGCCGCTGCCATTTGCCGGCAGCCCCATCGGGAAAGGGAGGGTGGGGAAGAGAGAGGGAAGGAGGGAGGGAGGGAGGGAGGGAGGCAGGAAGGCAGGGAGGGAGAGGCAGCGGCAACGAGTGGGAAAGGTGGCTAGTGTTTGGCCGGACGGGTGGGCTTGCATGGCCGGAGGGGGGGGGGAAGAGGGTCGTTGCGGAGGAAATTGACACTGCAGTGGTGGGCAGGGCACGGCTGAGCAGGGAGAGGGGTGGGCCACGAATGGAGAAGAAGAGGTCGAGACATAGTAACTGCGGCTGAATAAATGCCCTTTGGGTGTTGTGTAGTTTGCAGGGCACATGGGCTGCCATCAAGAGCAGATCACCAGAACTTGACGTTCTGCTTGAAGGTTGCGTGCGGGAGGCAAGCAAAACATGCCCGACCTGTGAAATAATATGAGCGTGTTTCGTTGCGTGCATAACGTGTTCTGTGAGAGTTTTTTTTTTTCTTCGTTTTTTGGGGCACGGGTTGGATTCGACTTTCAATAGTAACGAGTGCGGACCCAGTGTAGAAACAATGGGTAGATGAAGGGTAGATACAGGGTTCTCTTCGCCTTGTCCGAAGATGCCGTATTTTGATTTTGTTCTCTTGAAGCGATATGTGTTTTTTTTCAGCACCTCTGTTGATGTTCGGTGCTTCCATGCGAAAGGTTTATGCAACAAAACACCATGGCAAGAGATATGGGTAAACCATGTCGCAAATAACGTACAGCACAAAATATCACAGACGCAACAACGCCCAAGACGACCGCGTTCGAAACGAACAAGTCTTGGGAGAAAGACATGGAAAATATAGTAAATACCTCCACACGGACTCGAACGCCATGCCTTGGAGGAGTCTACATGCAGAGAAAAGGACAAGAAAGTGAGGGATCGGGAAAAAAGAGGGTTTGGGAAACACCACAAATTACTATTACGGTTAAGAACGTTCCGCTATAGTAGCAAGTGTCAAGCCCCCCGAGCACGGTTTTTCTCGTCTCATTGCGAGATGCGCATGTATGCTTACGTGGAGAATCATGGCTAGGCTGTGTACAGTCGGGAAACGATTTCGTATGATCCCTGAAGATGTGAGCGTCTCTTCGCCGTTGCTGCTGCTGATCATGAGCTGATGAAGGCGATCGTGTGCGCTGTGGCGCCCGCTCGGTTGCAAGTCACGAGGACGAAACTGGAGCACGGGATGTCAGTCCAGATACAGCTGTTCATGACAGTAGAGAAGATTAGGCAACTATGGTCTAGAGGCGACAGTATTCGTTTGCGGCAGGAACCCTCCGCCGTCGTTACACGAACGCCGTTCAATATAGAAATGCTTTACCCTGAACGGGGGTTGTTTGTGATGGCCGTTTTGAACATGGCCGGTGGCCGGCCGCTCCGGTTGGTTGTGGCTCGCGGGTTGTTCAGCAAATACTTGTGTTGTTTTTCGAATTTTGACATAGTTAGCGCAGTCACTCGTACAGTAGCTCGGGCAACGCCATTGGGTTGACCTCACGTGTCTATACGCAGTAGACGATACTCCCTGAACGCGACAAAGATTGGCGTTGTCGTGGTATCTTCCCGCGCGATGCTGCTTCTTTTGCGAGAGATTTACCGTAGTATGTACATGTAGTCGCGTCGGTTTGGGCGATCGCGTAGGCGTCCTTTCGAGGGGGAAGGTGTTCATGTCCTACGTACGTCTGCACGATACGACACTGTAATTTTCACCCCATCGGGAATATTTCTAGCCGTGGCCCTTGTTTGAAGCCCTGGGAACCTCTACAAGGTAGAGTTGGAACCGGTTCGGAAACACTCTCGGGTGTTTGAGCACACTTTATGGATCTGACTTTCTTTCCCGGGACTACTGTACGGTAGCTCCACTGACTTGTGTGGTTGTGGGACCAGAGACCCGTGGGAATACCGCAGAGGCTAGCGCCCACAGGGCATGGCACATTTCATGGTGCGAGCCCCAAGACATTGAAACACAACTAAGACGAGAATTGTGATTATTGACAATACTTGACGATTCCGACCGCTCATGGCATCAATAGCCTTGGACACCCTTTGCCTCGCAACCGAAGCCCTACCATGGCAGGCGGGAAGGGCGAGCCACGCCCTCGTGGTCGCGGATAATGCACCACCGTCCCTAGTGGTGTTCGAACTGAAAACTAGTACACAGCACCCCGCGCAGATTCGACCTCCTTGTACTCAGTGCCGAAGAGCATACACGATGAGGTGAGTTGGCAGAGCAGCCTCCTCCTTGTACACCACGAACTCGTCGAAGTTCAGCCGTTGGCCCGCCTGACCAAGCGACGGTCGAGGTTCGGCGGGTGACACAGGGCTCACGTTTCGGCTGTCATGTCCTCTACCTCGGATATTCAGCGATTAACAACGCCCAAGGAGAAAATGGAGTCTTGCGCCACGAAAGGGGGGGAGTGCGCGTTTCTCAGCTTTGGATGGAACCGTTCGCCTGGAGGCGGCCGAAACCTAAGGTCTGAATTGTAGCACGTGAAACCACGCCAATGGCAACTACATTGTGTCTAGAGTCTACAGTAGTCGACAGAGAGAGAGTTGACCCCGTTCACTCGATGGCGAACACATACCTCTCCCACCACAGAATGGTAGCCAGGAGGCGGGCACTGGTCTGCCGGGAGCCTAGCACTCGTGGTTTTGAACGTGTTCCCCAGGGCGACGCTGGCGACGAACATGCACCTCAGCTCCAGTTCGCCGACTTTCTGATACGATGACGGAGACGAGGCGGAAAAGAGGGACGGGCGCGAGTGAGACAAAGGAAGCACATGCGGGGGCGAGAGGGACGCATCTTTGGCCAGGCCGTCAACGGACTGACGAGCGGCTTGCTATTTATATTTGGGTACCCCCTCCGCGCCAACAGGGGAACCCGGCCCCGGATCTACTTTATATTTCAGTGTTAAATATGGATGACACGTGGGAACGTGTTCATTGAAGCAGCGTGTCTGGCCTCCTGCGAGGCTACAGGGTAATTCTCTGTTGTACTACACCTTCATACCGAGGATCATTTAGTTAAAGGATATGTAACTGGATTCGGGCAGGGTTCCTGGCCTGGTGTGCATGTCACCCCGCGCAGAGAAAAAAAAAAATGGTGAGCCGCGAGGAAGGCCTCACTCCCCATCATGCGCACCTTGGCCGAGCGCGAGGCGTAGTCGTTAGCCTTGCCGGACACGCTCGTCAAGTAGATGCCCGCCCCGTACCGAAGCGGGAAACGGGTTGCCCGGGCTGTGCGGGCGACGTTGGGTCCCAGCTGGAATCCTAGCTTGCAGATGTTGCAGACGCTGCAGCTGCTCTCCCCGCACGGGGCCTGTCCGCCCTGCACGTTAACAGATCCGGAACGAGTGCACAAGGTCGACGACGCGCTGCGCCTAAAATGAAGGCATATAACTGGAGAGCGTGGTTTGCCGATCGGAGAGAAGTGAATGGGCCAACCCATACCTACGATGCACGAGCCTACATCTACGGAAGGGCCGCTGTTCACCTGTGGGTCGACCATGAAGTTGCACCCTTCGTTGCAGGAGGTGCCGTGAAAGCGTTGGCACAGATTACCGAACTTTCCTTTGTACCGCTCGTGCTTCTCACGCACCTCACGAGAAACCTTGTGAGGGCAACGGACAGGGGCGTTAAAGCTCGTCAATGAATAACAGAAATATGAGGTATGTAGTGCAGAAAAAGCTCCTGCCTGGAATGTAGACCATTTACTGTTATTATTCAACGCTGTAACACGGTTAGGGGAGTGGTTGCAGAAAGGACTTCTTGCATATCTGCCCATTTTGACATGGTGTGGTGAGGCGCGTGGCAAATAAATATCAGATATTATCTGGTGTGCCATCGACTATTGTTTTCACTACTTATGCATAGTACACATGTGCGGTTGTCGTTCGCTTCTAACCGACATTCCACCGTTCACTGGGATCCAATGCACCTGGATGCTGAAGATGCGCACGATCGAAACACCGTTTTCCGGCCGTGGCTTAATCCACCGAGCATTGAACAGATCGCACAGGGCCTTGCACTCCGCGCCATTGCCCTCAAGCCTTTGCAAAAAACTTCCGCTGAACCCCACAGACAACACCTGTATACCAGTTTTGAAGACAGCAGATGGTGTGGGCATTTTCGATAGGCACACACTCAGTGCCACACGCCGTGATACTCGGGTAAACGTGTGTCTGCAATGTAGCGTTGTCATGCTGATGGTCTTCTCGCGTTTGGCACAGGTGCCAGATTCTGATCGTCGTGTCAAGTTCTACCGCCCATGCTGGGGCGAAACTTGAGCTTTCCTTGGCGCTCAAGACACAAGTGCATCGCGCCAAACTCAGTGTCATTTTACGGGTACCGTTGACTCTTTCTTTTGCTCTGTCTCACCCCCCGCGAAGTACGCCTCTGCTCGTGCTCCACGTTCTTTGTTGCAAGAAGCCGAGAGTCGTTGGCCGCCCAACGGCAGCCCCCACAATTGAGTACGTGCACGTTGCAGTTCCATCATTTCCGCGAACTCTGAAGCAGGGTTTACATGTCTCTGCACGCAATACTTGTCCCAAGCCGAGGTGACCTACACATCCGTCGTCATTTCGGAAGCCAGTCCGCCCATAAAATATACGAAATATGTGTACGAAGTCGTACGCGATTTGTGTGGGTCTTAAAAGCGAGCGGCGTATCGTCTCGCTCCACCTTTTTTCGCTCATCTTCGGTCGCGTTCTCCCTCCAATCCTCTTCCGACTTCTTCTGCTGGCAGTCGTGGAGCTCGGCACGTACGATGATGCACGTGTCCAAGTCTGCACCCTCGTCGTTGAGGTAGAGCCGGAATAGCTGTATTATTTCGATCGGAGCGAGGGCAGAACATCGGAGGATCAGACCCGCTGTTGTCTGTTCCTTCTAGTCTTCCCCGGCGTCGGCGTGATGATGTGTGATAGTGTAAACATTGTTTTCCGGCCAGCACACATGCTTCGCATTGCCCAATTCTTGGGCGTTGTACGCGGAGGATGTGGGACTCCCTTGACAGCAATGAGTTACACGTACGTGATATCGGGGAACTGAGCAAGCCAAGGAACCTTTGTGATGGGTGCGCTGTGCTCGCAAGACGAGCAACCTCTTCCAGCATGCCCTACCACAGGTATCTTGATACGCACCGTAATCGCCAACTCCCACCGCCCACGCTTTCTGTGAATTCGCCCCTTCTGCAGAAGCTCCTGTCGAAAGCAGAAAAACAAAATACGCGTTCACCGATTGAACGATCATATTATGTCCCTTCAGTGTTGTCAACACTCGCATGGGACCCAGAGCAGTATCACTCGAACAATCGAATCTTCAAGGTCGATCCTGTCTCTGTCTCTGCCTCTCTCTCGCTCCCAGGAGCCTAGCCTGCACGCGCCGGGTCCCCCGAAAAACAAGCAAAAACCCCCACAACTGGGAGTTTTGGCGTTTGTTTACCTGGCAGCTCATGGGCAGCCCACGGGCAGCCAATTGTGCGCTGCGCATGGGCAACACGTGGAATTGCCCAGGATGGACTGCCCGTTAGAGCAATCAATATTTGCCCAAAATGGCTGTCCACGATAGGTGCCCATCGGCTGTTGGTCGTGGGCATGTCGACGGGGTGCCGGTGTTGACCTTACCATATGGGAGGTGCCCATGGATGGCGTACAGCCCGTCAAAGAAAGGTCTACATGTAAAGAAGATGTGGCCCTCTACTGGCCCGCTTGCCCTGTAAAAGCACGGTGCGCGAAGAAATCCACGCAGGCACTCATCCAGAAATCGGCGATCGATCGTGCTTGCACTTCTTCAGGTAAGCGATATCGGTGGTGAGAAACAATTTCAGACCCAACTCACATGTGGTGTAAAAACAATTTTCCTTGTGGGGGGGAAACGCTGACGGTGCTGACAAAAGAGGGGGGTGCAGCACTCACTATTGCTTAGTCGTGAAGAGAATGGGTTAGTGTGATAGGGACAGTGTTAGGGCGCCCCCGTGGTGGACTGCCCTGGGTTAGCATTGCAGTATGTCCATGATCGTGTCCTTTTGGGGGATGCCCCATAGTGGGCCGTGGGCAAAGTTGAGGTGAAACTTAGGCTCACGGTTGGCAGCCCATGGGAACTACCCATTGATGATGGTCGTTTCACTTTTGGGCGATCCATGGAATACTAAATGTCCATGGGCATTTCGTGGGCGTTTCGTGTTCCATGGAGTGCCCATGGGCTGCCCATGGAATGCTCGCGGGCATTTCCGTCCGTCGGCAGTCCATGGAACAACAAACAAGACGTTTTGGCAACCAACCGCGAAACGGGGCAGCCATACAACGCCCTTGCCATCTTTCACGGGATATTCTGTCCGTCCCGGGAACTGTCCAACACGATGTGTCGTCGCGCGTAAGAAAACATCCTCTAATCTAAGAACGTGAAACATTACTATTCTAAAATGCAAAGGCCAGTCCCATGTGGTGCGCAAAATGATTTGGCTTCGACAGCAGGACACCCTCAATCTTCACCCAACCAATCTATCTTGCCGTCTCTACCTTTCTTCTCCTCTCGTCTTCGACCTTCCTCCGTTTTTCCATGCGCGTTTTCTTTTTCTTCTCTTCTTCTCCTCTCCTCTCCTCTTCTTTTTTCTGTTGGCAGTATTTAAGCTCACGGGCCACCGTGAAGTGCCATTCTGGGTTGAAGACTCCCACTTGGTCGCGGTAGGCCTTGTATTGCTGCATGACATCGATCGGTCGGAGCGAGGGCACGGTTCGAGGGACCAGCGTAGTAACGATTTGTCTAATGAAGTCAATTGGAGAAGAGATAGGGTTGTGGGTGGGTGGGGGGTTGTTTGGGCGCCTGACACGCGTAGTTCGAAGGGTTCCACGCACTGTACCGGTTGCTCCTCCTGACTTTCGGCGTCAGTAGTCATTGCATGCGAATGAACAGAAATTTGCGCAGAAATTTGCGCAGAAGGTGGTATGTCAAAATCTAAACTCGTTTTGGTTCTGGCCAGGATTCAGGTTGTGTTCTTAGAAAGCAATGCGTTATCCTTTGCCCGCGGAGCGGGATTCCCCTGCAAGGACTGAAAGTACACGACCATTCAATTTTTGGTAGTCGATCATCCCGAAAATAGACTTGCATGGGCCACGGGGAGGGTAATAATGATGGCGCAAGCAAGAGCGGTTTCCGTTTGTACTTCATGGAAATCGATCCAATTTCTATGGAAGTCGAGGGCTACATCGTCCGTCCATGGAAACCGACTGACCAGTCTAAAGTTGCCCTTTTCGAAGAAAACCCTCCATTGTAGCCACCGCCCCGGTGATAATCGCAGCTGCCATGGAGGCCTTGCTGAATGAATTCCATGCAAATCAACGAACGAACCCATTTTCCATGGAAGAACAGTTAAGTTTGCTACTCCCATGGAGGGGCCATGAAACTCCGTACCTACAGTAGATATACGCCATACCCACGAGGCTTCCGTGATTCCCAACAACTTTCCTCCCGTGGAAGTCTCAACTGCGCCCTTCCATGGGGTTCTCACGACAACATCACAGGTGGACGTCCACCCCCCTTCCCCACAATGTCGCATGCCCTCGCCCCCTTGTTGAGGCCTTGACAAGGTCGAATACCTTGGAGAAGACAACCAAGGCCTCGAAAGGGGAGAAATCGAGGTATGTTTTAGGCCTTGGTTGTCTTCTCCAAGGTGTTCGACCTTGCCAAGGCCTCCACAAGGGGGCGAGGGCATCCGACATTTTGGGGAAGGGGGGTCGACCTCCACCTGTGATCCTTCCATGGAAGTCATCACATCTCGCCAAGGGTTCACAATAACTATTGGAATATGCCATGTCGAAACCACGTCTGCTATTTTCACCGTGGATTTCCCATGCCAGCACACACCAGACGTGAGAACGTTCAGGATATATGCACATACATGTTGAGGAGTGGGGTTCAAAGACTATGAACAATCACCTTTGTCGCGAAATACCACCTTCTTCCCAATCTCATGTGCTCCCGGGCCTTCGCCAATTTCCACCGTCCCAAACTCTTGTGCTCCCGGGCCTTGCACAGAGGAGGCATTATCAAGCAGCACAAAACGTTTTCGGTGCACGAAATGATTAACATCAATGTTGCATCATCAACAAACACAGAAGCAAATCGATTTGTCTTCGAAAACGAAAAATAAATACATTTAAAAAGAAGGAACTGCAATATACAATGTACTTGCCTTTGTCAATTATTCAACTACATCCCAATGGAATGATTCGGGGTACTTCCACTATTGGAAGTTCACGTTGGACGTCCTGTGGGACACCATATTGGACGTCCAAAACGTCCCATGGGACGCGTGGAACGTCCAATTTGGACGTTGGACGTCCAATTGTGTGGGACGCCATGGGACATGCCGTCGGCCATCCCACGGGAGTCCCATTGCACGTCACATGGGACAGGTGGGACGTCCAATGCGAGACGTGGGTTGTCCCATCTGACGCCCGCGCGGGTCGGATGGAACCCCCATCACGTGCCAATTTACATTTTGACCTACTGTAGCAGGAACCACTATTTCACAGCTTCACCGCATCCGATCTGTGCGTACAAGTGCCTCCCATCTGTTTGGCTTACGTGCGTCCGGTTGCTATATCGCGTAGGACGTCCAATAGGACGCGCAGCTGGGGCGTCCAATGGCGTCGCATGGGACGTACACAATGTCCAATTGGACGTCCAGCGTGTCCCATGGGACGCCCATTGGGCATCCGACGTGAGCTTCCAATAGTATTAGGGCCGGCATTGAACGATCATTTCAAATTCCATCCCAATGGGACGATTCCGGGGTACTTCCATTGTTTGGACGTTCACTTTGGACGTCCCACGGGACACCATTGGCCGTCCAAAACGTCTGATGGGACGCGTGCAGCGTCCAATGGGACACGTTGGGCGTCCAAAGGCGTGGGACTCCATGAGGCACACGCCGTTTGACATCCCGCGGGGGTCCCATCGGACGTCCAAAACGTCGCATGGGACACGTGAGACGTCCAACGGGACACGTGGGCCGTTCCATTGGGTGCCCGCGCCGACGGATGGAACCCCTATCATGTACCCATTATATTGACCTACATAGCAGGAAACTCAACTTCACAACTGATCAGGTCCATCTGACCTATGAAATCAGCGTACTATTTATTATGTACATCTGTTCGGCTTTCGTGCGTCTGGGGGCTAAATCGCGTACGCATAGGACGTTCAATAGCGCGTCCAGCTGGGACGTCCAAGGTATATCATCGGGCGTATATGTGGGACGTCCCAGACGACGTCACATTGGACGTCCTACGTCCAAAATTGGACGTCCATGGGGCGTTTTGGACGTCCAATGGGGTCCCATGGGACGCTCGATGCGTTCCATTGGACGTCTGACGTGTCCCATGGGACGTTCATTGGACGTCCGACGTGAAACTACGTAGTGTCCGTCACCGAGGGACTACAACCGACATGATAGTCTCGTCTATTGAAGAATACTCCTGGAGTATATAGTTTCTTGTACATGTAGTACTTTTTCCCGAAAGAGGAGTATATAGTTTCTTCTAGTACTTTTCCCCGAACAAGGAGCGTCGGCTTTTTGTCCCAACAAGATACTATCTGATTTGTTTTGTTATACAGTTCGTTGACACTCTCTCACCTCTTTCACCCTCGTTATTGTCTTCCAGACGTTGCCCAGGGACCACCAGCAGCATTTCAACGTCCCATACGAAAGGTGGTCCAAAATCGCAACGAATGCCTTCATCCGCAGACTCTGAGGCAATGTTCGGATATTATACGATCGATCTCAGCGATGTTACGAGCAAATTACCAATCAATCTGTGTCGGGCCTCTGCGCCATGCTGTTATGGTATTTGGAGGTAGACATGTGAACGTGCTTGACCATGGTTATTTGGCGTCGTCTGATGCTATGACGTGACGTCATGAAAGATTCGGGCTTACGCCGACGCATGTGCCCTCCTGGTCAGTGTGCGTACGATCGGGTGATCGGGTGTGCTTGGGATCTGTGTGAGTTGGCTTTTTGGGAAAGCGTTAATCAAGAGAAAGCACCCAGAGAAAGAGAACAACGGAAAGCAACAACAACATGCGTGAGATCCACACAGACAGCACGCATTCTAACAGTACAGATGGGGCCCGCAGTTAGGAAACATTCTGTTCAGAAACAAAAGGCTCAAATTGATAAGGAAATAAGAAAAAAGGCCTAAGAAACACAGCTCAATCTCGGCCACAACATAAGAAACGCCCCAATAAGAAACATGATCGTGCGATACCCCAAGACAAAAGAAACGAGGGGGTACAAGCTGGGGGAGCGTGTCCAAAGAAACGTCCGACTACCTAGCTCACATGTCCATGTAATTGTTTGGTAGGGGCAGAGAGTGGTCATTTTCGCGGCGCCCCCCGTGCCCCGCGCCCCAGCGCCGTCGTGGGCTGCTCTACCCACTGCTGCTGTACTTCTGTACTGCCACAACCCCCAATGTTCGCCACACCGAGCTGTCGGTTCAATGCTGCATGAAGGCTTGGTGTGTTGTTGTTTTCTTCGCCATCAGAAACAATAAGAAAAAATAAGAGAATCAGCAGGATGCGACAGCATCGAATAAGAAATCCGTTTCAGGAAATTGGCCGACTTCGGCTGGTCCTTCTGCCCAGAATATGAAGTTGAGTCTCGACCCGATTTTGACGTTTCTTATCTCCGGGCCCCATCTGTAAGTGATTGACTCTGAAGGACGGGGTCAAATGTCTTGACATTGTCGGCCTCGTTCACTTTCTTCCCTGCGTAGCAAATTGGGTTCTACATTGATCTCCCGTCAGTTTCAAAGATAGATTGTGCTCATCATATACCACTCCGTCCGGCATTATACTGTAGTTAGTTCCGCTTTCGGGGAAAGCAAATATTTTCTCGAAGCGTACTTGGAATTTGTTGACGCGGGTTCGAGCCGTCGCACCGCTGGCGGTATATTTTTTTCCAGTTTGCTTCACTTTTTTCCCAGGCCCGAACTGGCAGCTTGTTCCATATTATTCTATTTCCAACCGTTGCGTTGTGAAAAAAGGTTTGATGTGACCAGTAGTGGTTGGAAAAGAAGGCCAGAGGGTCAACAGACAAAAAAAAAAAATGGCGCCAAGAAACGGTTTTTGAAAAGTCAACTTTTCTTACCGAAAAAGTCTTGAGGAACCCCCATTGTCCCGGTTGGGATAATAAACACCTCCATCCCCGGCTTTCAGGGTGTTTTTTCGCGTTCATCCTTCATATGCATACTTAGGTTGTAGGAGTATCGATGCGAAGTTTATCGGGCTAAAACCGTTCCCGTCGCGCTTAAAAAATATTGAAAAATATATTCCCGGATGCTCGTATTGGAACAACATTGCCGGACGAAATGTGGTAGCTAAGAAGTTGGTGACCTGTTCTCCTCGTCGTACTTTACCTTGAAGGTTGCCTCCCGCCATGAGACATACAGCACGGCTCCAATGGCCCCGGCGAGCAACTGGAAAATCATCAGACCAGCAAGCCCTCGTTCCTGCTTGAAGGTTGTGTACTGTGTAAACGTGAGGGCTGGCGGTTGATGGATGGATTGAGGTTATTTGGAGATGGATTATGGATACACTTAGGCGAAACATTCCACAGTGGCGAGGCCAAGAGCATTCTATTACCAAAATATGTATACTGTCCGTGCAGAATTGCGTGGTGTTCGTAGCAGTATTTGCCTTCCAATGCCCCACATGACGATCGATGCGTTCGTTGCATCAAACCGCGCGAAGTGCGTCTCTTCCTGTTTGTTCGCGTTGAACGAGAAATTGAGGATTGATTGCATGCAGTTGATTCGTTTTCGCCCGACAATTTGTTCCCGAACGACTGCTACCTACTCTTGGCCGAGACAGGGAAAGATGTTGAAAGGATCGATATAAGGAGCGATGAAGCTTCCAGAATCCCATACTTTCAGAGCAGTCAGGCGCAGGGGCTTCACGCGAGCACGGCTGCAATATAGTTTGCGCCTATTCTACATACAGACTCTAGTAGAAATGCGCCGTTCAATTTCGCGACACCATAAATTTGGCGCGAAAGAACTATTGTAAGTTTGAATTTGTTGTGCATCAGAAAAATCGTAGGTGTAGTGTAGAGAAGACATAATGCATGTGCCAGCAATCCGAAATGAGGCGAGGGGGCGGATGAACGTCACCTGGCCTGTTGTCGTTCGGGAGACCTTAGAATGGCAGAACAGGAAGACGGCGGCCCGAACGGTTGAAGCAATCAGGGCAGAGGGTTGGAACTACACTCACTCACTGTCTGATGTGTCGGTGTGCCTTTTTGGACTTGGGTTTTCGTATCTGTTTTTTACCCGCACGCCTTCGCTGACTTCCTGTGCGCGTGAAGCAACCGACTGCTCCAGAAGGGGGCTGGCTGTCCTTTTTCCCCTTTCGTCATCAATCAAACGACGAACGTATGCATATGTATGCATAGCGGGGCCCCCGTGACTGATCAATCCTCTACTCTCCCGCTTCCACAAAAAAAAAAAAATCAACACCATCTACTGAAGTACGGTATCTTTCTATGCCTCTGTAATCTTCCGCTTTCGGCATTGCTGCATGAATTTCAATCAAGGACATGCATCAACTATCCGGTCGTGCCCCCACAAAACTCTCGAATTTGAGTTGTCCGACCGCTGAAAAAACGAAGAGACCACGCCCGTGTGTCCGCACATACTCCGAAATGTATCCACACATATACATACCCAAATACCCGTTACATACGCGTACCACATTGAAAATACGTTTGAAAACTGAGGGAGATTGCATGCCCTACGACTAAAAGGGTGCCACACACAAAACGCCCGACCAGTACCTAACACATATCATCTGCACCTTCCCAACATAACATATATGGGACACACAAGACAGCTACCAAACTGTCTTGTTGAGCCTGATACCCGCAGGGGAGATGTCCCTATATATATATGCTGTCTGGGAAACCGTAGACATACAGGTACTTTCTGACGCTATGAATCCATTGCCAATCTGTCTCAGACTCTTTTCTATGATAGAGATGGTTTCGTTGTGTCATATTAGAGGGAATCCACGTGTTGTTGAAATGACGTGAAAGATTGACATTTCAGGAAGTTTTGACGTGAAGAGGTTGCGCCGCTTTTTTGGGGGCAAACTCTGACGGCGAAATTTTTGTGAGGAAGCGTCAAAATTAAATTTCACCCAAACATAAAACGACGCGAAAAGATTGACGCTTCAAACATCGCCAGACTGTGGCTCACACACGCTTGCTCTGCTGCGGTCTGCTGTGCGCGGTCAGCAGCGAACACATTGGCCATGCCTATACTGATTGCTCCTAGCGGTCCTGCACCCACGCGTCTCGGCAGTTCTCACGGCGGCCAAGTGGCCAGACGCGCGTGTTCGGCGCGCGCGTTCGGTAGATGCGCCGTCGCGATTGCGCACGGGCTTTCAGCAGCAAAAAGGGGCATAGGCAGGGGAGTGATTGGGGGAGTCTCGCCCTCGAAGGCAGCACATGGAGAGGAGTAAGGGAGGGTACACGGACTTTGCCAGTCAGTAGGTGCATTTCGCCCGCCCCCTCACGGGGTTCGGTGCTCTGCTGCCGCAGTGACATCGGTATATACACAGCAGTGCAGCGAGCAGCTGCCTTACTCATCAGCAACGAACGGCAGTTTGACGCCTGGGAAGTCGTAGTTTGACGCCTGGGAAAAGTCGCCGCGGCAAAGGAGGGAAGGTCGGCGGGATGAGGCGAAGGGGTACACCTAGTCTCCTGGGAGCCTGGGGGTGTGAGTCTTCGCTTCGGAATGTCGACCCTGGGTGGCAGCCCGAACCAACCTTGAACTCTACCTCCACCATTTTTTTTTTTTCACCTCTCACGTGTCAACGGGCACACGCGGTGCGAATTTTTTCCCGTCAAAACCCTCAACCGTCACTTTATGTTGGCGTCAATCCTCAAAGGTCAAAATTCCGCGTCAATCCATAGTGGATACCCTATATTAAGAAAAAAAAAAAATCTGAGCAATATTTTGTTGTATTGTGTGTCCGCCATCTACGCGGCGGTACGTGGTGGGCGGGATCAACAACCATCTGTATGTAAAAAGCAGTTACTAACTGCTTTCACCCCGATCACTACTACTGTGTCTCCTCTACGTAGATACCTGGTACTACACATTAATTGATCGTGTTCCCTACTAGGTTGTAGGAGCCGCCTTTGTTCTGACATGGGCCATCACGAAAGCGTAGTCTGTTTTCTCAATACTAGTGCTATATTGTAGAGATGATAGAGATTGTGAATATTGATTACATAGACAGACGGATTTCGCAATATTTATTCTTGTGACGGATGATTGTCAAAATATTTTGATCAACATCATCATCAGTAGGGAAAGCGCTACTACTGCTGTTGATCCATTGACCGCCACCACGCTCGATCACCACCGCCCAAGCTATCGTGTTGTCTCGACAGGGTGACAGCATCTCCCCTAGGGCTCTCTGAGGGCACACCAATCTCCTGGCCATCTTCTGTTCCACCTTCTTCACACAACCCAGGGTTAGTGTCGATTTTGAGGCATTCCATTGGTGCATGTGGTAGTCTCTATAGTCTATAAGGTGAGAAGTTGTCCTCGTCGACGTCCGCGAACCGGTCTGAACAACCTGTTGCGTACACTGCAGCCTTACCCAACGCAAGATACATACATAGGTAGGAGACATACGGGGATCGCGTGTGCCCAACAGTCTACTTTTCTTTGCGAACGCGGGTCTCAAGTCCCTGCGTCTGGTAGCAATTGGATGGCACGCCAGTTGTGGTGTCAATCGGCGAAATAATATTGAGGCGACCTTGTTCTGAAAAAAGTTCAGAGAGTATAAACATACCGACAGTAGGCTTTGGTCAACGTGTTTTGGTTTGTTGGGTGGGGACGTACCACCGTAGAACACGGTGGCAGCAGGGATTTACTGCTGGAGCATGGTGCAAACGACAACTCAAAGCAAACCCACCTGCACAGGGATACGTGTCGCCCACCCGCGTTGAAGAGTAATAAATTACTCCTTGTCTACCCCCTGTCTCTCCAATCATCATCTGTTTGCCTCTCTCGCCCCCCCCCCCCCCCCCTCTCTTTTTTTCTCTCTCGTTTGCGTTACGCTCTTCTTCTGCATCCTCCGCATGTGATCCTCAATAATACACGTGCATTTCCAAATCATGACGCAAGTACCTTCAAACACCTCTTGAAAAATACCGTGTGCGACAGTGTCAGATGCAACCGGCCCCCGACTCCGGAGTACGTACATACCAGTACACTTTTTTTTCGAATCAAATACGCTTGGAAGCCCCTCTGTCTGTTGTTTTCCAACCCGCTCTCCAAATATCTGTCCCATTTATTGCTCAACATTTAGTCGAGAGTTCGACCCATCATGGTGGGAAGCGAAACCTCTGCATTTATCGGTGTCATGACGGTCATGGCATTGGTTCATGTATTCTCGTCACCAGCTCGGGATGGCACGGGAACTTTCGCAGATAGTTTCAAGGTGAGGGCAAGCCTGGTCTCCGCTTCCTACATCTATCTCCATTTGACGGCCCAAGCCCGTTCCACGTCGGCATCCATACAAACCACATTGACTAACTATACTGCGAGGGCAAACCATGTACTGTACACTCTTTTGTGCACTATAGCCGTACCCAGGGAACGAGATATCCTCTTGGTTCAATTTCTCGGTCTAACATCAAGTAAAACAGAATTCGGTCGCCAAGTCTGAACAAAAACAACACTTCGAAGTATGTCAAAATTAGGTTGGTTGTTATTTCAGTATGACGTTGACGAGGTCTACGGTAACAGTCGCACTTACCTGTTCTTTGCCGCATCGAATTGAAAACACATTCGGAACTCGACAGACAATTTCCCGGATCTGAACTCTGATTGGCTAACGTTTCTGCTTAAAACACACGCGCACGCCCAAAGCTCAACGAAACAAATCTCCAATCACCTCACACATGTACGTACGTCGATGTACTAACAGCGAAGCGTCGCTTACCAGGGCGCGGTGTTTCCCGATGCGACTGTACCTGCAGTCCAACTGATGTTATCGTAGAATGTATGTCCAGCCACGCTCGGCCTAAAGGGGGAAGGAGAACCAGTCGTTCTGGGGGGGTATGCATGACCCCCAATTTTCCGCACTACTGGGAGTTTTATCTAAAACCGCCCATGGGCAGCCCATGATCTGCCAACGAAGTGCCCGCCGTGGGCACTTCAACCAAGAGCTTAGCCACCGGCACGTCAACCTCGAACATACATCCACCCAGCGCCAACTTAGCACGAATCTATCGTGTGGGCTTGGGGACAGGGTTAGGGTGAGCGTTACGGATTTTTAGTCGTTATTCTGCCCTTCCAAAGCAAAGTCTACAGAATAGGAGTGCCCTGGTTACGGTAGGAGGGCACTCATTGACGGTCTATGAGCCGCCCATGGGCAGCCCATGCGTTGCTCATGAACTGCCCACAAAGAGCCCACCATGGGCTGCCCATGGGCTTGCCCAGGGGCATTTCCCATGGTGGCCCGTGGGCACCGTTGTGCCCACGGGCACTTTGTTTGGTGCCCATAAGCGGCCCGTGGGCTGCCCATGGGCTGCCCATGAGCAGAATGCTGTGCCCATGGGCAGTCCATGGGCAGCCCGTGGGCTGATAAACAAAACCGCCGAAGTGCAGGAGATCCTGCACGGCTGATAGTTTCCCGAGGGGCGCGTGGTTTGATTGACACCAACCTTGGGCAGGCATACTCCTGTCTGCGGGGTAAGTGGCTGCCGATGATCTTGTCAGTTTATCAATTTTCGCAGCAATAGAGGCCGGGAACACATATCCATTCCACACCGTCTCGTCAAACTCCGACGCCTGCACGAGAGCACTACTGTAGCTACCCCACGCTAACACGATATATAGTGTGCGTACCCCAACACGCTCATCACGATTTAACGGGGATAGATTTGAAGTTGGAAAGGACAACGTATTTGATTGCAAGTGCGAACTGGAATGAAGAACCTCTACAGTTTCCTTCCAAAGGTTGCCCCAAAAGGAACCTGACACATGCCCAACCGTCGTTTGCTTGGCCGCGTAAACCGAATATACATGGTGGTGGAATGATGGGGGCGCGCGGCTTGCAAAAATAGGAACCCTATGAGTATGCCACAACAAACGTTGGCTCCACGAAGCGCAGATTCATCCGACTCTTCGGGCGGGTGGTGTTCGTCTTGGTGATGTTCGGGACGTACGTCGGACTCGAGTCTATGATTCGCTGGAAATCGTCGGCTTTCACGTCCAAGGTAAGGGCGCGTGCAAAACAAATCGTTCAGCACTGCGAACGGGATCGAGTTATTCGTACATATATTGTCATCCGAGAGTGAGGAGCAAAATCTGGCGCACTACTACTGCACTTAAGTGACACTCATGATTTTTGTCCATGTCGAAGATCACGTGCGGCGTTTCGTACGTGGGCCATACAAAATATATCTTCGGCTTTGTGTGCTGCCATTGACGAACATGTCCGTCTCACATTCGATCCTTCTCTCTCTTGATCATTCTCCGCCACCTGCTGTACTTTGTTGTGTCGACGTCGTCGCTTTCGTCTTTCGGGTTTCCTGGCTTTCGGGTTATTTTCGTGAACATTGGCGTAGCCGGCTGCACCGCAAGCGAGGAAGAAAGCCGCCGAAGAACAAAGGGGCAGAGGGACGGGCGGATATGGCGACGCATACGGCAAAAGAGCTGAGGAAAGAGAGAGCGTCAAGATCGAGAAAGAGAAGAGGGAGGCCGTAGAAGAGAGATACGGAAAGGAGGGCGAGTACTACGACGCACACAGGAAAAGAGCGTTGGAAAACGAGAGGATCAGGATCGAGAAGGAGAAAAAGAAAGCAGCTGAAGAAGAGAGACGCAGGGTCGAGAAAGCGAAGCGGGAGGCTGCCGCTGAAGAAGACAGGCGCAGCATCGAGAAACAGAAGAGGGAGGTTGCAGCTGAAGAAGAGAGGATGAGGATCGAGAGAGAAAAGAAGAAAGCCATTGAAGTAGAGAGACGCAGGATCGAGCAAGCGAAGGGGGAGGCTGCCGCTGAAAAAGACCGGCGCAGGATCGAGCAAGCGGAGAGGGAGGCCGTCGCGGAAGAAGAGAGAGGCAGAATCGAGAAAGCAAAGAGGGAGAGCCCTCAAGAATCGAGACGCAGAAAACAGCTGGAAAATTACGAGACATACAAGAAAGCAGCCGAGGAAAAAGAGAGGATCAGGATCGAGAGAGAGAAGAGGGAGAGCCCTGAAGAAATGAGACGCAGAAAGGTGGACGAGTACTACGAAGCACGAAAGAGAACGGCTGCGGAAAAAGCGAATGCGAAAGCGTAGAAGGAGGCCACTGAAAACGAGAGCGTCAGTAGCGAGGGCGACTATTTCGAGGCAGAGAGGAGCTGATGCAAGAGGGTGGCGCAGGAGTACGAACAAGTTTCAAAGGATACGAACACGCAAGGGGCGAGACACTCGTCGGAACTCTGCCAGAAAAAGCAAAGAGTAAGAGCGAGGACGGTAACCGTCTGTGCTATTTCCGGTTCATTCGCCAGGCAAAAATGATTCGTGTATTGTTCTTGGCAGCCCCTCCCGTCCCAGATGCGATTGCACGACGGGTATTGATAAACCAAAGCGAACCGAATACTCAACAGATGAGAGGAGGTCCGAACAGATTATCGTGCGTGGTATTTCGAGTCGGGAATAAACTAGCGGCCATACAGCTTCATTGGATCGGCACGTACATGCGGACACCGTCACAGATTGTCTGTGTTGATGTACATGCGCACATTGCGGGTGTTTCACCAGGTCTCCCTCTGGGGCGGGCTTGTGTTACGGCGTCCGTGTACCTGTCGCGTGAAGAATGTGACCACATGCTTGTGGGGAGTGTGGTACCAGCTTGGGGAGCGCGTGGGGGCGGGTGATGTGCGTATTCTTCAACTCGAGCTGTGTCGGACGAGAGGTTTGCCAGAAACGTCGGGGAAAGATACCGTACATAGCACCCCAAAGAGACAGTTAGCATCGCCTACGTAGCAAGACAGGATGTTGCGTTTACATTCGGGGTAGGCACGTTGGCGGCGGATATGGAGATATAAGGTGAGGAGCACGAGGCACACTCGTTTCACGGGATACCTGGCTGGAGTGTGAACGCAAACGCGACTACATGCCTTGGGAAAGTGAACGAACGTCGAACATGGGGCGAAAGATAGAATCGGAACTACGGTAGGGTGACGCTTACATCGTCGCGGCGACATATTTCGGGGGAAATGATAACCATTCTCACGCCGCTTCCCATTTATTTTTTTCGTCCTATACATTCTGGACGTTTGTCTTTTCCATCTTTCAGTACAGTTTCGACACGCGCCATGCAAACATTTGGGTGAGCGCACAGCCCAGCAGACGTGCAGCCTGTCTGTAAAGATATACTTTCTCGAAGAGTTCGTGCGTTCCGACACGAGGCTGTCGATGACACGCTTGGCCTCGTCACCGGGAATGCAGGAATGAGCGAACCCGAAACAGCTGACTATGTGGACTGCGCGCCTTCTCTTAATCGCGCTCACGCTGCAGTTTCGTTGAAACGTTGTACGCTGTAGAAATCAAAAGGGCATACATCCTCGAACGCACACATGGAATCTAAGGCTCTGTCCGCTTCTCTCGGTGCACCAGCACTTGAGCAGACACGATCTTCGCTTTGTCCAGGGATAAAACGTTGTCCCCATGGTGTGTTGTACAGCCATAAGCAACGGTTAGCCGTGACGGTTGTGCTTGCGCACAATCTATGTTCCTTCTGTGGGTGTAGGACGCAACTCGAACTCATACAAGTGTGATGGTGGGTTGTGTACCAATCGCCATCTCGTCGGTCGTTCTACGATGGTTTCGCGTCGTCTTTTCGCAAAATCCCCATCACGACAAGAGCACCACTGCCTAGAAAACGATCACGAGAATCTCGTAGGTGGAGGACACCACGGTTGCTTGAGGCAAGCTGGGGTGCCAAGAATCAATCAACACAGCCTCCCTGAGACGAAAAAGCCCCCTCTTTGAGCTCTTTCATCATCCCCCCGAAGGAGGCGACGATGAGCATGACGATGAAAATTGTGAAGGCATCGTCTGTCTAGGGTTGGTTGCACGTGCAGCACAAGAAAACCTACATTCAAAACGGTGCCAACAAACTCCCATGAAGAGGTAGGAGTCTAGATTATGGTACCCTTCCCGGGATCGCATAAGGTAGTCTACACTACTACCGGGGTTCTTCATTCTACAAAGTACATCCCAGGAACGTTCGTCTTCTAGAGAAGCTCTGGGAAACGGGATTATCACGGTCGTGAAGAGGATTATGACTGCGAATAGCCATTGGGAACGAAAGCAAACATCCACATTGCTTCCTACGGGTTGCTGACTTCACTCTTGGAATCTTGGAAATGTTACACAGTGATTTCGTGCGGCTGGCAGAGGGGGTTTCCCGGACGTTTGAACCTCAGGCACAATCTGCATACTCTTGTTTGGCTTGCAGAACACAATTTCCTTGTCGGGACCCGACTATTTTTTGCGAGAAGCCGAGAACACTCGGGGAGGTGCCATTGGCCTGCCCAGTGATGGTTGTGCGTGCGAGGGATCATTTGCCTGAAAACAACTGAATCAAAGATCAACCATCACTCGTCTCTTGAACTATCGATGGTGACGAGTCCGTTGTACTTACGTAAGAAATAAATCACTTAAGGGTCACCATAAGCATCCAACAACAGTGCTGTTCGCGGCAGGTGTACGAGCAGAAATGGGGCAAAAAAACTTCCGCTGAGGCCCAACAGCTGGGCATCCGCAGAAAAAAACTGTCGGCATGGTGCACGATAGTCGCTCCCAAGCCCCGATCCCACCATATCCACCCCTATTCGATAGTCGCTTTCCCGAGATACATGATCGCATTTTCGTGCTCATGTTGCCCACTTGATGTTCATTCACTGGATTCGAAGTGATTGGTTCTTCTGCCCTATGTCGATTTGCTTCTTGCCCGAGGCATGCAACGCAAGTCGATTCCACGTCACGTCGTCTCGATGCCCATTTCCATACACATTGAACCAAATCCAACTCGGTTCATTCATCTGGACTACCTCTTTTGGTGGAGAATCATAAGGTTATCATGCTGCCTCTCGCCCACATCACTCTCCTCGCGAGAGGAAGCTCGTCGCCTCAACATATATCAGTGCAATTCTATCTGATCGACACACAGGATACATACGCAATACCTCTCGCTAACACATGGAGGGCATCACCCTGTCGCTACAATAATTGAGCCAGAAATTTCTTGGCCAAGGAAGAGAGGTCCATCGAATGTGCCGCCGGCTGTTTCACAGATGGATGGTCCAAATTGCCGCCTGACCTACAGGGCGTGCAGGCATCCATGAAGATGCGCGATGACGAAAATAACAATGATCTGGCCCCACCTCATATCTTCTTGATTCAACCGGACAAACCGTGCCCACGGAAATGCGTTGGTGGATACATGGCACACAACCACCTCCATAACGGATTGCGAAGATCACACATGTTTTAGGTCATGTCTCCAACACACATGAAATAACAGGAACCCTATGAGGTGGCCCTGCGACGCATGAAGTCGTCGTAGCGTCTGTTGTGTGCAAGGCGCTCTTCGTCATCCAATTTACGATTGTACTCGCGGCGTGTGCCCTGGTCCTTAAGTACCTACCGACAGCGGTAGAAAAAGGGCGAGAATGAGGGGGGTCCGGCCAAGCAGAAAGTTGTGTATCTACATAACCCAATAGTTCATTGCATATGGTATCAACAACTGTCGAACCGTGCTATCGTGGCCATACAGTCTAGAAGTCCTGTTAAGGAGCCTTATCGCAACCGCTGTTGAAAACCAAACATCTGCACCTGTTGCCCTCTGGAACGGCTGTCACCAACATCAACCTACTGTGGATGGCCGAAAGTGATGGGTAGTGTACATAGGGTCTCCACTATGGGGAACAATGCTGTATCGATTGGCGCGATTTGTAGGCGAGCTCGTGTTTTGTGCTTCGGTATTGCGATGTAAACAATAGACTATATTTTCTGTACAGTAGTCCCCCTGCATGATGTTGCTTCCGTTTCGTTTTGGTTGAGCAAAGTTGCTCTGTATCATACTTCTTCCACCCGACACAGACAAGATATGTTCCAAACGGGTTCTTCGTGGTAATCCAACGTGCTGGCGGTGTGAGTCTTGCCATGTTACCGCGCCTGCCGGTGGTTCATTTTCTCACCTCATACGCTTCATTAATTGCCCGAAATTGGCGAGCGGCGTCTGAATTGCCTGGGTTTTTGTCGGGGTGGTGCCTGAGCGCCAACTTGCGGTAGGCTTCCTTGATCTGCGTGCCATCCCCGGACGCGAAAGGTGGCGAAAGAGAGGTTGGAAGACCATGGCAGGAGACTGAGAGGCGCGCGGGGAGATCGGATGAGTCTCATCATGTTAGACTACCTCTATCTTACAACGGGCCCAGAACATGCACTCGTATGTTTCGGGAAAGTAAAATACGTCCATTTAGCAGGACTCGTGCTCGCGTTCACCTTATTTCGTGGGGCGTTGGACCTGACCCAAAGGGTCGCGTAATGCCCCCCTCCGCTCCCTTCTGCCCTGACGGCCTCTTCCTGGGCGGCCTCGTCCGCGGCTTTCCTCCTCCTATCTTCGGCCTTCCGTTCCTCTTCGGCCGCTCGAACCTTGGCTTGTTCCTGTCTGCAGTAGTCGAGCTCTTGAGCTACCTCGACCGACGTTGGGTGGCCATCACCAACATCGTTCAGGTACTTCAGGTAGTGCTGCGCGAACTCGGTCGGATCAAGTGCATAGTTCGAGGGAAACACCGAAGATTGAAAAAACATTGCTGTCGTACTTCCCCGACGTCGGCGGTGTAGTCAAAATGGTGTGAGGATTTACAGATTTCTCTCCCGGCGCATGCTACGCATGACCATCGTGTCTGTGCGTTGCCATGACGGTGCTAGATAGAGTAGTGCACGAGCAACGCCTTCCAGCATGTGCTAGAAAGGCGTTTCGCACGTACCGTAATCGCCAACTCCCACTGCTCCGAGGACTTGTGGCTCCGTGCCTTTCGGAGTAGTTCCTGGAGAGCAGTGCGTGTTGTTTCGCGAGAGAACAAACGACGGGCACTCGCATTATGATCGAAACAGATTTAGCGCCAAATTCCGTGCTTCTTCAAGACCTCTCCTTTTCTCTCTCTCTCGCTCGCTCGTCCAGGGACTCAGCCTGCTTGCGCCGCTCTGGAAGCAAACCACGGGACTTATGAGCAATCCCCAACCGGAGCCGCAGTTGGCCGAAGTATCGAACATGTTGGTCCAACGATGCATGCGACATCTCTCAAATCAACAGCCGCCTAGACTATGTGCCTAGTACAAAAGCTGATCACAATGCGATTGGTTTCAACAGCAGGATCTCTTACGCTCAACCTTAATTTAACCTCTCATTTCCACCTTTCTTTTCTCGTCTTCGACCTTCTTCCGCTTCTCTTCTGCCGCTTTCACTCTCTTCTCTTCTACTTTCTGGCGGCACTCGTCGAGCTCATCAGCTACCTCGTGCCATGTTGGGTGGCGGACACCCACGTCGTTGAGGTACCTCTGGTAGTCCTGCATGGGGCGAGGGCACAGTTCGAGGGAAGATTTATTACGGTCTAATGTTGCTGCGGGAAGACAGTGCTGAACTCTTCTCGCATTAAAAATCGAAGGCAAAGTACCGCAGAGGGGAGGGTAGAGAGGGGTATTTTTGTGTGACCACGGGTTGGAGTAAACGGCACTAGTGCTGTGAGCGCTCATTTGAAGTGAAGAAAAAAAAAATGATGCTGCACTTCCGAGGTCGGTGTGACACTTTTTTGAGTCTAAACGCAGTTTCCATTGAGTCGAATGGGGTGCGATACTGATGTAGATGTCGGCGAAACTGTGAAGAAAACGATGTGCCTCGACGAGAAACTGCACGCACACACGTGCGGGTTGATAGCGCACGACCAACGTAATGTGGCGCACGAGAAGAAGGGGCTACGTTGAACGCACCGCAATCGCCGACTCCCACTGCTCCAAGCACTTGTGGTTCCGGGCCGTTCGCAGCAACTCCTGGAGAGCAGTAACGCGTGTTTGACGACGTAACGAAATACAGTATACAGGCTACATATCAAGGGAAGTCGAGGTAGTATATCAACGCTCACATGGTCGAACTAAGTGAAACGTCAACAATCACACCTTCAAGGGTCCCCCCCTCTCAATCTCGCTCTCCATGCGTTTGGGTCGGTCTTCATCTTGTCATCTGTCCGACCCGCTCCTCACCCAGGAACCCATAATTGCCCTTGCCCCACTACATCTGGAGGGATTTTTCAAGACTTGTTGGCAACTCTCACACGGAGCCTTCCATGCATATAATAGATGTCCGTTCAAGCTAGCTGTCAAACAGGGTTTACGTATCGCTGAACTCGTTTCAAAGCCCAATCAATTCTGGAAATGATATTGGCTTCTACAGCACGATATTCTACGTTCACACAATCAATATTGCCGCCACCTTCTTCCGGTTCTCGTCGGCCGCTTTCGCCTTCTCTTCCTTTGCTTTCAACTCCCGTCGGCAATGGCGGAGCTCTTCTGATACCTCGCACGATGTTTTGTGGCACAAACCCACGTTGCTGAGGTAACGGCGGAAGTCCTGCAAGAATTCGGTCGGATAGACGTCGTATTTTCGAGCGACCAGACTGTTGCCTCTTGTTTCTTCTCTTCGTCGGCGTGGTACTATGACTGTGCCGGCGACCAGCGCACGCTACGCAGAGCCTCATCCTGGGTGTGCTGGGTGGATTGGTGGTTTCCGTGGAAATGGGACTGTATTGAAAGGAATGAGGCGCGGCACAGATGTCGGAACTTTGGGTAAAAGTGTTCCTACAGTGAAACTGCGCATGCGTGCATTGCTAACAGCGAGCAACGTGTTCACACACGCCAACGTGAGTGGTACGTACCTCAATCGCCAGCTCCCATTCTTGCAAACGCACATGGTTCTGTGCCTTCTTTCGCAAGGCCTGTTGAGCAATGCGAGTTCGACGACAGCACGAACATCCAGGGAATACTACAGTATCAGTTGTCACATGATGATCGAAACAAAGATCCCCTTCGATTGTGGTTTTATTCTCGTAGGCCATATTTCCTAATAGCACCGCCAGCACTTGGTCTCCCTCTCTCCCTCTCTCGCTCTCTCGCTCTCTCTCTCTCTCCCTATCTCTCCACCCCTCAATCGGTTGCTCCCCGCTGCCCTCTGGAGCATTCTCTTTTTCTCTATCCCACCGAGGCGCACGGCCTGCTCGCGCCCCACTCTCCTTGGGAGAATGCAACAAGACTTGTCGGCGGCTTCAACACATCTCCTACTAACCCCCGCCAGGCCAAGGTACCTTCCACATCGGCTCCCGTCGGCAGCGTTCAAGCTCGTCTGCCACCTCGTCCCATTTCGGGTGGACGACGCCCACTTCGTCCATGTAGCTCTGGAAATACTGCATAGATTCGGCCGGAGCGGGGATGCAGTTTCGAGGGACAATGCGGTAGTGAGTGTCTACGAACATACATGTGCCATGCTCTTGCACTCTTCCCGACGTCGGCGAGGTGTTGTGAGAGGTTCCACGTTTTTCCAGCCAGGGCATGCTTCCCACGGCCTGATTGTGGGAGTTATCTGTGCCCCTTGAGAATCACGGGGTGTGCAACAAATTCGGAAATCTGAGGAAAAGTGCACTGAAGGACCGTGCCACGGGCGCATGGTAAGTGCAC